TGTCGAGCTTTTTGTGGACAGGGCATATCTGGCCAATCTTCTACTTTGACAGGTAGACGCCAGTGTTGTAAGTGTACCAGAACAGCTTGGCTAGGATAGCAGCAAAATTTTGGACAACAAGTCTTCCTAACTGTTGTCGAAATGTTGTCAGGGTGCATAGCCTTTGCAGTATCCAGTGCCTCCAATCATTTCTTGATATCACGGAGTGAATCAAATTGGCTGAAGACTGGCATCTGTGTTGCTAGGCACCACTGGAGTAAGGAGAGATAGATCACCCACTTGGCACTTGCGGCTGAAGATTGCTGCGAATGCTTCAGCCTTATCTTTTGCTCTGACCTGCTGGGGTCCTCCATCATCAAGGATGGAGATATTTGTGCATCCTCTTCCTCCAGTGAGTTGATTACTTATCCACCACCATTCACTGTTAGATGTGGCAGGACTGCGGTGCTTGAATCTGATCCGTTAGTTGTGGGATCACTGAGCTCTGTCACTTATGTTGCTTGGCACTCAAGCAGCCCTGTTTGGTAGCTTCAGCATGTTGACACATTTTTAGGTACACCTGATGCTGCTCCTGCCATGCCCTCCTTCACTGTCCATTGACCAGAAGACCAGAAGATATAGCAGCAGAGTTAGGCCTCAGCCCTTTGAGTCTGCCCCAACATTCGATCGTGGCTGATACTTTTCTCAACCCATTCTCCTACCTTCTCCCTATATCCGTTGATCCCCTTACTAATCAAGAACCTAAGTATCTGTCTTAAATACAGCCAATGACTTGGCCTCCACAGACCTCTGTGGCAATGAGTTCCACACAGTCACCAACCTATGGCTGAAGAAATTCCTCATCTCAGTTCTAAAGGATTACCCCTTCACCCTCGGGTTGTGCCCCCCAACCTCCAGGTGCTAGTCTCTCCTATTAGTGGAGACATCATCTCCACATCCACTCTATCCAGGCCTTTCAGTATTCTCTAAGTTTCAATCAGATCCTCCGTCATCCTTCTAAACACCTTAAGATGACCTTCATCCTCAGGATCATTCCTGTAAACCTCTTCTGGACCCCCTCCAACACCAGCACATCATTCCTTAGATAGAAGGCCCAAAACTGCTCATAATAATCCAAATGTGGTCCGACCAGAGCCTTATACAGCCTAAGTAGTACATCTGTGCTCTTGTTTTCTAGCCCGGTTGAACCAGGGTTGATCACCTGGCTTGTTAGCAATGGTTCAGTGGCAGATATGCCAGGCCATGAGGTTGCAGATTGTTTTAGAATATGACGCTACTGCTGTTGATGGCCCACAGCCCCTCATGGATGTCAGTCTTGAGTTGCTAGATCTGTTCGAAGTCTGCCCCATTTGCAGTGACGGTGCCACACAACATTATGGTGGGTATTCTCAATATGAAGGTTATGCACAGTTATACAGCTTTTAGTTTTATCTTATTATCATTACTATAATATAGACTTTATTGTATCCTAATGTCTTTTTTATCTGGCCCTCCCGGACTTTCCCTGACCCCATTTCGATAATACTATTTTCTTATTCCTACGTTTGATATACAAATTAAAATCAACTGAAATGTTAAATGAATCTGCTATGGTTAATATTATTCACCTCCTGAAGTAACATCAAACTAGGTGTTTGAGGTGAAGCCCAGCGTGGTCAGTGCAGACTCGTCTGAACCGTACGCTTTTATTTTTTCTTTTCTTTGCTTCAGAAGAACTGTAATGCCAAACTTTTAAACTAACTTTATTTATTTTTCTAGTTTATATGTAAGATTTTGTACCTTGGCACCTTTGTACTTAAGGTGGTGCCGGAAATGGCGACTTTGTACACTTTCCACTATGCTCATGCATCCCTGCACATGCGACAATAAAACCTAATTCTAATTGATACAAGCTACCTGGTAAAAATGGAAACCTTTAACATTCATCTGGAGCAAGTGCTCTCAGATTACGGTCAAGTAAGTAACAATTAAATTTCAATACATGCAAGTGCAAGGTGGTGCATTTTAGAGGAAGGACGAAGACCACGTACTCCACGAATAATGCACCTGGATGGAACAGATAGGGAAAGTTACCATCGGCTTACTGGACCACAGGACTGATCTCTCGTTAGAGAGACACGACTAGTGGTGGTTTAATCTTATGGTCACCATGTCTCAGGCAAGAAGCAAGGTTAAGAAGGTGGGACTTTCATGGTAACATGAGTCAGCGTGGGAAATGAACCCACACTGTTAGAGTCACTCTGCATTACCAACTGCCCAGCCAGATGGACTGATAAACCCCCATGGAACAAATAATTAACATGCATGTATTAACAAAATTATACAAGCAGCAATGCAAATTAACATGGTCATAAAAAATGTACAAGCAAAAGCACTGGGTTTTATTTCTAAAGGAACAGAATTATAAAGTGGGAGGTTGTTATAAAGTTGTATTAAAACCATAAATAAACTTTTATCATTAGAACACTGAACAGTTCTATCTTCTATATTACAAAAAAAAGCAAAGTACCAGAAAAGGTGCAAAAAGATTTACCAGGACACCAAAACTGAAAATTATAACTCTCTTTCAAAAAGTTGTTTGTGGGGTGACTTGATCAAGGTCTTTAAGATGTTTAAATTTGAAGAAATCCAAAACTAGAGGCTATAAATGCAAGTTAGTCAGTAATAAATCCAATAAAAGATTCAGGGGAAACTTCATTGCCCAGGTAGCAGTGAGAACATGGAGTTTACTACCAAATGACATAGTTGAGGCAAACAGTGCAGAGCCCCTTTAAGGAAAAAAGTTAGACAATGACAAAGAAAAGAATAAAATGTAAAAAAATATTCCGACTAGGTTAGAAAAGTAAAGCAGTGGGAGGGTTAAATGGAGCACAAACATCAGCAGTGACCAGTTAGTTGATGTGTTTACACCAGGATTTACCAAAATGGAGATCAGAACCCCAAATGAGGCCTCAAATTGAAATTTTAAGGTTGCGAATTCTAAAGCAGCAATGGCAACCATGGAGCTCTGTCAAGACGTGACAACTGTACCCCTTTATAAGAAAACTAACGGTCAAGAAGTCCTCATAAGCCTGGCTTTTTCTTTTTACCAGCACTCAAGTTTTGAATACAGACAAAGCATTCAAGTTCAGCAACATTCAGCATGTTCTTGGGTTTAAACGTTCAGTACATGTTCAATAATGGTTTCTGGTTTCTAAAACTCCTACTGATATTTTAAACAGTATTCCCCCTTCCTCTTCCCCTTTTTTTTGCCATCTCACTTAAACTGAAAGGGAATTTCATGTTGCAAGAGTAGAATTTATTACTTTTCAAAAAGAAGTTCAAGTTTCAAAGCCGCAGTTTCATAAAAAATACTAAATAACTTCAACATATTACTTTACTCTGCTTTCAATGAACAGATGCAATTCTTCAGAAGGCCAATCCCAATTAGAACAAAACATGTTAAGTGCTGGGTTAATTTCACGAATGCCACCGATTCAGATAACAGTCCGTGCTGTTGGAGGGAGTACACCGGCATGGATGGAGAATTGGTTAACTGGCAGGAAACAGCAATTGGGGTAAGGAGTTACTTTTCTGATTGTCAACCTGTAGCCAGCTGGGTTCCACAGGGATCACTGCTGGGACCACACCTGTTTACAATATAATGACTTGGAGGAAGGAAGCCAATGTACTGTGGCCAAATTTGCAAATGATACAAAATTAGGTAGAAAGGTAAATTGAGAGGGATTCAAACCGTTCGGAGAGAGATATCGACAGATTACGTGTGCAATTGTGAAGTTGGAAGGGAGAACAGAAGAATGAGTATTATTTAAATGGAGAAAAACAGCAGAAAGCTGCAATACAAAGACACTTGGGGGTACTTGTGCATGAAGCACAGAATGCAGGCACAAGGTGCTGCAGGTGATCAAGGCAGCTAATGGAATGCTGGCCTTTATTTCAAAGGATTGGCGTAGGGAAGAGTTACTGCAACTATACAATGTGCTGGTGAGACTGCATCTACAGTACTAAAAGCGGTTTTGGTCCCCTAATTCAAGGAATGGCATCATTTCACTGGAGTTTATATAAATGATTTGTATGTAAATAAAGGCGGTATGGTTAGTAAGTTTGCAGACAACACCAAAATAGGTGTAGTGGACAGTGAAGATTATCTCAGAATACAAAAGGACCTTGTTCAGACTGGCCAATGGGCTGAAGAGTGGCAGATAGAGTTTACATTAGATAAATGTGAGGTGATGCATTTTGGTAAGGCAAACCAGGGCAGGACTTATACACTTAATAGTAAGGTCCTGGGGAGTGCTGCTGAGCAAAGAGGCCTGGGAGTGCAGGTTCATAGTACCTCGAAAGTGGAGTCACAGATAAAAAGGATAGTGAAGGCGGCGTTTGGTATGCTTGCCTTTATTGGTCAGGGCATTGAGTACAGGAGTTGAGAGGTCATGTTGCAGCTGTACAGGGCTTTGGTTAGGCTACTATTGGAATAGTGCGTACAATTCTGGTCTCCCTGCTATAGGGAGGATGTTGTGAAACTTGAAAGTGCTGTTTTGCCTGGAGCATCAGAGGCTGAGGGGTGACCTTATAGAGGTTTATAAAATCAGGAGGGACATGGATAGGGTGATTAGCCAAGGTCTTTTCCCAAGGGTGTGGCAGTAAAAGACTAGAGAGAGTAGGTTTAAGGTGAGAAGGGAAAGCACCTGAGAAATAACTTTTTCACATAGAGGGTGGTGCCTGTATTGAACGAGCTTCCAAAATAAGTGGTGGCGGTATACAAATACAACATTTAAAAGGCACCTGGATGGATATATGAATAGCAAAGGTTTAAAGGAACATGGGCCAAATGCTGGCAAACAGGACTAGGTCAGATTGGGATGTCTGGTCGACATGGATGAGTTGGACCAAAGGGTTGGTTTCCGTGCTGTATGACTCAGAGTCTGTTCAGATAAAGTTCAATAGGATGATCCCTGGTATGGAGGGATCATGTTATGAGCAAAGACTAGAACACTCACCTTGGTCAGTTTTGGTTGCTGGTTTCCAGTTTTCAGCACTAATGACTGGGAGACAAACTTGCCCTTTTTCATCAATGTTGGGATGATAGATCTTTGTCTTGAAAGTAATTTTAGGTGGTTTGAAAGGATATTCTGATGGAAAGCTTATTTCAATCCTGAAAGCTCCTTTGTCATATGGAGGGTTATCCTAAAACAGGAGAAAAGTATTTTAATGTGTTTAGCAAAATCATAAAAACTTTTATAAAGAGATCTAAATTATAATCTAATTTAGGCTATAATGCACAAATAAAGATTACACAGTGTACATTTAAATATCAATAGCCTTCTTATTGTCAGCATATTCCAAGATAGAACAATTTCCAACACTCACAGTTAAAACATGAACATTCGAGAAATAACAGTTGCCAAATCATTTAATTTATATTACTCAGTATGATTAAAAATCTCTTTTCCAAAGGACCAGATGATTCTGGAAGAAAAATTTTTCCCTAAATTATTTGTTGTGGACTTCATGCCACATAGAGGATAAGGTATTCTTCAAATGAAAAGAATAAACTTGAGGGAATAATGTAAACTAATTCATCGTAGAGTCATAGAGTAATACAGCATGGAAACAGGCCCTTTGGCTCAAACTGGACCATGGTGCCCACTCAGCTTGTTCAATCGCCCACATTTGGTCCATATCCCTCTAAACCCTTCCCAGCCATGTACTTATCCAAACGCTTTTTAAATGTTGCTATTGTACCTGCCTCAACCACACTCTCTGGCAGCCCATTTCATATATGCACCACTCTCTGCATTAAGTTGTCGCCCCTCAGGTCCTTCTTAAACCTATGCCCTCTAGTTTTCAATTCCCCATCCCTGGGAAAGAATATATGCATACATCCTACCTATTCTCATGATTTTATACACCTCAATAAAGTCACTCCTCATTCTCCTATGTTCCAAGGAATAAAATCCTATCCTGGCCAACCTCTCCCTCTAACTCAGGTCTACTAGCCGTGGCAATATCATTGCATAATTCTTTGCGCACTTTCCAGCTTAACTATGTCTTTCCTATAACAAGGTGACCAAAACTGTATATAATACTCCAAGCACAGCCTCACCAACGACCTACACAACTGTAACACAACATCCCAACTCCTACACTCGATGCCTCAACCGATGAAGTCCAGCATGCTAAATGCCTTCTTCACCACCCTGTACACATGCAATGCCGCTTTCAACAAACTATGTACTTGTACTCCTAGGTCTCTCTCTTCCACAACACTCCTCAGGACCTTACCATTTACTGTATAAGTCCTACATTGGTTTGACTTTCCAAAGTGCAACACCTCACACTTATATTGAATTTCATTTGCCAATCCTCAGCCACTTCCCCATTTGATCCAGATTCCTCTAATTTTTGATCATTTTCCTCGCTATCAACGATACCTCCTAATTTTGTATCATTCGCAAACTTACTAATCATGCTTTGTACGTTAACATCCAGATCATTTATATAAATAACAAATAACAAAGGTCCCAGCACCAACCCCTGTGGCAGAACACTAGACACCGGCTTCCAGTCTGAGGAACAACCTTCAACCAGCACCCTCTGCTTCCTACCATCGAGCCAATTTTGAACTAAGTTAGCCAGCTCTCCCTGGATCCCATGCAACCTAACCTTCAAGACTAGCCTATCGTATGGGACCTTGTCAAAGGCCTTACTAAAGTCCATACAGACAACATCCACTGCCCCACCCTCATCCATCCTCTTGGTTACCTCTTCATAAAACTCAGATGTGTCAGACAAGACTTCCCACGCACAAATCCATGTTGACTATCCCTAATCAGACCTTGACTATCCAAATGTTGGTTGATCCTGTCCTTCAGTATCCTCTCCAATAACTTAACACTGATGTCAGGCTCACTGGACTGTAGTTTCCTAGCTTGTCTTTGCTACCTTTCTTAAACAAACAATGGAACATTAGGTCACCCTTCAGTCTCCAGAACTTCACCGGTGGCTGAAGATGAAGCAAAAATCTCTGCATGGGCGTCTGCAATTTCTTCCCTAGCCTCCCACAATATCCGACGAAGGACATGCCCAGGGGATTTATCAACCTTAATGCAATCTAAGGCTGAAAACCCCTCCTCTCTAATAATATGTATGCAGTTCAAAACATGCCCACTTGTTTCCCTTATATCCTCAGTATCCATGATTCTCTCCTCAGTAAACACCGGGGAGAAATATTCAGTAAAAATCTCCCCCATCTCCTGCCGTGGCTCCACACAAACAGCCATGCTGATCTTTAAGGCAACCTATTCTCTCCCTAGCCATCCTTTTACTCTTAATATAGCTATAGAGCCTCTTGGAATTATCTTTAATCTTATCTGCCAGATCCATCTCATACCCTCTTTTTGATCTTCTGATTACCCTCTTGAGTGCTCCTACACTTTTTATTGTCATCTAGGGATTCACTTGAGCATAATAGCTTAAACCCAATGTATGGCTTCTTATTTTTCGTGACCAGAGCCTCAATATCCCTTGTCAGCTAGGAATCCCTTAACCTGCCACCTTTTCCCTTCACTGTAACAGGGACATATTGTCCCTGGACTGTTGATATCACACTTTTAAAAGCCTCCCATTTGCCAGGTTTGTCCCTTTTCCTTCAAACAGACTCACCCAATCAAACACTGCTAGATCCTATCTAATAGCCCTAAAATTGGCCCTGCTCCAGTTTAGCACCTTAATCTGTGGACCTGACCTATCCTTCTCCATAACTGTGTTAAAAGTAAGAGTTATGATCACTGGACCCAAAGGACACTCTGACTGACATTTCAGTCACTTGCCTGACCTCGTTTCCTAAGAGGAGGTCCAGTATTACACCTCAGTAGGGCCCTCTACATATTGATTTAGGAAACTTTCTTGGACATGTTTGACAAATTCCATCCCATTGAGTTCTGAGGAAGTGTCACTGAACCAAAAATGTTGACACTGAATTCTCTCCACAGATACTGCCAGATCTGCTGAGCTTTTCCAACAATCTGTTTTTGTTCCCAATTTACAGCATCCACAGTTCTTTCAACTTCTAATTATTTTCTGTACCCAGTAAACTAAGGCAACTCCACAATCAATGTAATTAAACATCACATACTCAGGAAGTAATTGAGATTGCAGCACAGCAAAGGGTGAACCGATGAGCCAGACAAGTTCAATTTCACCCAATGATAGATGCAGAATGTTTTATCAAAAAGAACAAGAATACGAGCTTTGTGAGCAGTTGGAGGCATACAGTCTCAGCAAGCATCATTCAATAAGATCTTCTACTTTCCCAGCCTGTTCATATATCCCATGAGCCCTTAAAGTGTGTCCAAAAATCTCAATCTGAATCTTGAACCTACTCATCCACTAAGAATTCTTAGTCCTCTAGATCAAGGAATTGGAAAGAGTGGCAAAATTTCTCAAATGCTAAATGGTCAACCCCATATTTTGAAACAACGGTCTTTACTTCAAGAAAACCTCAAACTGAAACAAATTTAAATAGTAAAACAAGGGACTGGTTTCATTTACAAACCTCAAGCACACTGTCTTAATTCCAAAATAATAATAAATAGTAAACTTTAGCAAAGAGGTTTACTATATTTTATGAAAAATACTGAACAAGTCATAGTTAACACATAATCAGCAAGTCAACTTTGTTTGAAAGTCTTTATGGAAACAAAGCAAGATCAAGAAAATTTCTCTGCACAAAATGGTGCATCACAGATTTCAAAGATACACTCAGCTAAGTACTTCACAGAGAGCTACTGTCCAACTTGTAGATTGTACACACTGCTGCTACTGTAGCAACATGGAGGTAAGGAACCTTTAAAGGCATGGATGGTATACTGATCAAATGGACCTCATTGTGCTGGACAGTGGCAAGCTTCTCAAGTGTTGTTGGAGATGTGCCCATCAGACAAGTGGAAAATCTTTCATCACACTCTTAGATGCGTTTTCTAAGTGGTTAAAATGGTCCAACTCCCTCCCTAATGGAACTATGGTACATCTACACCAAATAAACTGCAGCGGTTGAAGGAGGCAGCTCACCTCCACCTTCTCAAGGACAACTACCAATGGACAATAAGGGAATCTTTAAAACAATGGCGATAAAAGTTTTGGCAGTCAGATGGCAAGATACACACTGCAGAGTTCCCAGTCTTTAACCATCTCTAGCAGTCAGCATTTATATGGCCAGTACTGTTAGGTAGCTTCAGGGGAGGTGGATAGTGGGAGATTCAATAATGGCAATGCTGTTGAATGTCAAGGGAAGAGGTTTAGATTCTCGTGTTGGAGATGGCCATTACCCGGCAATTTTGTTGCACAAGTGCCACTGGTCACATATCTGTCAATATCCGAATATTGCCCAGATCTTGATACTGGTGTGCACAGACTGCTCGTTATCTGAGGAGTTGAAAATCGTACTGAATACTATAAACACAATGAACATCCCTGTTTATTTTTAAGGGTAGGCAATTGAGTAGGTGAAGATCATAGGGCCTAGGACATAATACTATGCTTTAAACATGCAGATACATGTAGAAAAGGACCAGATCACCATCTTCCATGCAATAACTTATTCAGTAATTCTCACAAATTTAAAAGTCAGGAATACAGACCCAGCACATTTAATGAGTTGCCATGGAAAATGTCCCTCAGACACTGCACTTTTAATATTTGTGCCTGCAGTTTTGGAACCACACCCAATAGAAACTGCTTACAGATCAGTCTGCACCCTTCTCGAGCACCAATATTCGCAACAGCTCAACACTAATAAGCAGAAGGAAGCAATGCTAGGTTAAAGGTGATGAGCAGTAATTGCTTCTGACATATTATGAGGAGGAGCATCAATATCAAGAAGACTGTTGAACTATGGGAAGTTTGAGCACGATTTACTCCCAATGCAATCACATCAGAACTGGAAATTGTGTCTTGTTTCACACATCACTGGCCAACCTAGGAGGAGGACAAAAAGGTTGTGTAACTTTAGTAACCACAAACAGTACTACTGCTAGCAGCTCCCAAAACTAACCCTGCAGTCCTTCTGGATACAACTGCCAATGCAAACATGGTTGCTGGATAACAGCTAAATGTAGGTAGTCTGGCAATGGCGTCTGCTAATCACAACACATGCTTCTTTTAATTAGCCTCTTCGGCAGATCTGC